ATTTTTAGTAGAGATGGGGTTTCACCATGTTGACCAGGATGGTCTCGATCTCTTGACCTCGTGATCCACCCGCCTCGGCCTCCCAAAGTGCTGGGATTACAGGCGTGAGCCACCGCACCCGGCCATGTCTCCTTTAAATTACAGGGACCCCAGTCACTGGAGTCAGGGTCCAGTCTAATCCACAATGACTCCATTGTAATTATATCAGCAAGGACCCTACTTCCAATAAGGTCACAGTCTGGTCCAGGCTTGGTGGCTCACACCTGTAATCCCAGCACTTTTGGAGGCCTAAGTGGGTGGATCACCTGATGTCAGGACTTCGAGACCAGCCTGGTAAACGTGGTGAAACCCCATCTCTACTAAAAATACAAAAATTAGCTGGGCATGATGGCAGGTGCCTGTAATCCCAGCTACTTGGGAGGCTGAGGCAGGAGAATTGCTTGAACTGGGGAGGCAGGGGTTGCAGTGAGCTGAGATCATGCCACTGTACTCCAGCCTGGGCAACAGAGAAAGTCTCTGTCTCAAAAAAAAAAAAAAAAAAAAGTCACGTTCTGAGGTGGATCTGAATTTTTGGGGACACTATCCAACCCACCGCATGTATTGTCGCTATAAGCCAGGCCGGTCAAGAAAGATGTTCCAGTCCAGGCACGGTGGCTCACGTCTGTAATCCCAGCACTTTGGGGGGCTGAGGCGGGCAGATCATGTGAGGTTGGGAGTTCAAGACCAGCCTGACCAACATGGAAAACCCCGTCTCTACTAAAAATACAAAATTAGCCCGGCATTGTGGCACATGCCTGTAATCCCAGCTTCTTGGGAGGCTGAGGCAGGAGAATCGCTTGAACCCAGGAGGCGGAGGTTGCGGTGAGCCGAGATTGCACCATTGCACTCCAGCCTGGGCAGCAAGAGTGAAACTTCATCTCAACAACAACAACTACAAAAAAAAAAAAAAGATGTTCTTCATAATGCTTTTGTTTTGCAAATATTTACCAAGTGCTTGTTAGGGACAGGGTCTCATTGGGTGCTGGGCCCTTGTGGGGACAGGACTGTGTGTCTTCAGATGAGCTACTCTCTGACCCAGGCAGGATAAAACTGGGGAGGGAGGAGAGTAGGGGAGTCGGGGTGGGGGCAGCATGGTGTGAAGGGGTGAAGGGCCGCAGTAGGCGGCTGGAATCTGCTTCCTACCTTAACTTCCACCGTCTCAGATTATTTTCCTTTCGTGCGTGATGAAGAGCAAGATGAGACAGGCCTTGGGATTTGCCACTGAAGCCAGAGAGAGCCCCGACAGCCAAGCCCTTTTGACCTGGGCGGAGAAAGAGGAAGAGGACCAGGAGGTGAGGAACGAGCACAAGGTCTCTGGCTGGAAAACTCTGGTCCCAGCCACAGTATCTTGAGAAACAGCAGGATGCTGTAGACGTGTGAAAGCTGCCTGCCGAGTGTTCTCTGCAGGCAACAGACAGCTGTCCTGTGTCACTGACGGAACAGTGGTTAAATCTAACATGACGTGTAACGGCTCGTCGTGTTTACTGGCATGGAGTGGACGGGGCAGTGAGCCTCAGTCAGGGCTGGGACTTAGGAATTCTGGAAGTCCCTCCCTGCTTGGCCAGTTGGTCACTTGATTTTTATTTGTATTTTATTTTACTTTATTTTTATTTATTTATTTGTTTTTTGAGATGCAGTCTCGCTCTGTTGCCCAGGCTGGAGTGCAGTGACGCAATCTTAGCTCACTGCAACCTC